AGAAAGAAAGAAAGAAAGAAAGAAAGAAAGAAAGAAAGAAAGAAAGATACAAACAACAAAAGAAAGAAAGAAAAGAACATCAATTAGATATTTTAAAATGCTTAAGAGAAAAGGAAGTTCAGAAGGTGACACAGACAAGCAAAGTAGTTTTGTTGCTACTATGTTAAAGTTAATAATTCTATTTTTAAAACTATATAACAAAGTTCATGGTTAAATAACAGCCAGAATTTATATAATATTTTAAGGTTTAAAAGCTCTTTATAGAGATTACCTTTTTTGATCCTCACAACCACCCTGTAAGGCAGGTGCTATTATTATTCTCATTTTAGGGATAAAAAAAAAAGCTGAGGCTAGAATAAGTAATGTGACTTGCCCAGGGTTATATATCTAGCAAGTGTCTAAAACAGGATTTGAACTCATAATTTCTTGATTCGAACCCTCTATTCCCGGCCACACTCCATTGCCACATGCAATGTCTTTTGTATATCAAAATATCCATTTTTACTGATGCTTTTAAAATTCATAACAAAAACAAAAAGTAGAAAAACAAAAGTAGATTGGAACTAAATTATTAAGGGCTTCAAATGCCAAAGACAGCATTTGTATTTGATCCTAGAGACCATAGGGAGGTACCGGAGATCTTTAAGCAGGGGAGCGAGACCTGGGCTGACATTTTGGCAGCTGTATAGAGTATGAGTCAGACAGGCGAGATAAGATAGCTGTTGGGGGCTTAAACTATAGTGGTGGCCATATGGATGGCTAAAAGGAGGCAGATATGAGAGGTAGTATGGATATAGAATCAACAAGACTTAGTAATTTAATTCGATATTGGGAGGGTGGGGTGGTGAAAGAGAATAAAGAGTCAAGGAAGGCTGAGGCTTTGAACCTTGGTGACTGAAAGTACTAAGGATGTCAAAATTAGGGAAGTTAGGGTGTTTGGGGAGCAGGATGAGTTCTATTTGGGACATATTGAATTTGGAGATGCCTTCAAGACATATAGGTGGAACTATCTAATAGGCATTTGGCGATGTGAGAGAAATTCTGCAACTAAAAATTAAAATAGAATTTATTCATGAGCTGTCAAGGCATTTTAATTGTTTTCAGAGAAAAATAAAATCAAGCAAGCATGGGTTGACATTTCTTTACTGAAAACTACTCTCTCTACTGAGTTAGAAAGGAGTGAATATATAGATCCAGGAGTCATCTGCAGAGAAATGATGATTTAATCAATAGAAGATGATAAGATCACTCAAAGAGAAAGATAGAGGGAAGAGAACTAGAGAGAAGAGGCAGAAGAGAAGAAAATCAAAGACAGAGTTTTGGGGTACTCCCACAGTTAGGAGGTGGTACATGAAATAATGGGTGGCTATGTGATACAATGGATAAAGCACTGGGCTTGCATTCAGGAAGACTCACTTCCATGAGTTCAAATCCAGCCTCAGATACTTACTAGCTGTGTGACCTTGGGCAAGTCACTTAAGTCTGTTTGCCTCGGTTTCCTCATTTGTAAAATAAGCTGGAGAAGGAAATGGCAAACCACTCCAGTATCTCTGTTAGGAAAACCCTCCAAAAAAGAGGTCATGAAGAGTCAGACGCAACTGAAACAACTAAACAACAACAACAACATGAAATAATGATCCAGCGAAAGAGATTGACAAGCAACTAGACAGGTATGTTGAACCAAAAAAGAAGAATATCACGAAAAGCCAGAGAAGAAAGGAGCATCCAGGAAAATAGGTCAGTCAACAACAAATGCTGTGCAACTGTCAAGAAGGATTAGGAGTGAGATAAGGTCATTAGATTTGTCAATTAAGAGGTCCTTGGCAACGCTAGATATAGGCATTTCGGCTAGATAATAAAATCAGAAGCCAGATTATAAGTGTCTGAGCAATAAATGAGAGTTGGGAATATAGAGATGAATGTAGTGGACTTTTCTTTTTTAATAGTTTAATATTTTATCTTTTAAGTAATAAGTGCTTTATTGTCTATCTTAGCCTTCCATTTAACAATTTTTATGAAGTAAAAACAAAGCCTTCATTATATAATACACATATTGTATTACATACATATATTGTAATACATGCAATATATAATACATATTGATTCAACCATTCTTTAAGACCAATTTGGAACTGTGCCCAAAGAGCTATAAAACCATGCATACTCTTTGACCAAGCAAAACCAGTACTAGGAAAATGACCTATATGTACAAAAATATTTATAACAGCTCTTTTAGTGGTTGCAAAGAATTGAAAATTGAATGAGTTGCCCATTAATTGAGGAATGGCTTACCAAGTTGTGTTATGTGATTATGCTGGAATATTATTGTGCTATAAGTAATGACAAGCAGGATGCTCTCAGAAAAACCTGGAAAGACTTAAATGAATTGATGCAAAATGAAATGAGCAGAATCAGGAGAAAATTGTACAATGTAATAGAATATAATATGATGATCAACTGTGAATGACTTAGCTATTCTTAGCAATACAATGATCTAAGACAATTCTGAAAGACTTATGAAGAAAAATGCTATCCATCTCCAGAGAAAGAACTAATTGAGTCTTAATGCAGGTTGAAGCATACTTTTTCCTTACTTTCTTTATTTATCTTGATTTTTTGTCTGTGTTTTCTTTCACAACAGGAGTAACATGAAAATGTTTTGTATGACTGCATGTACATAACCAATATCAAATTGCTGCCTTCTCAATGAGAGGAGGAGGTGAGGGAGGGAGAGAGAGAATTTGGAACTCAAAAAATTTTAACGAATGTTACAAAGTGTTTTTACATGCAATTTTTAAAAATAAAATATTAAATATATATATGCATACATAGTCCAGAAAAATAAATTTCCACATTAACAATGTCTGAAAAATATGTTGTTGGCAGCTTTTTCCAAGAGTTTAGTTGAGAAGAAGAGGAAACATATAGGATGACATCTTAAAGATGTGGTAGAATTAAGTTTCCCCTATACTCAGGTCAAACATATGGATTAAAAAAAAATAATGATGCATCTTCAATCACATTGCTCTGAAGAACAGAAAGCTTTTCCAGATCTATAACAAATAAAAATTTTAATATTGTTCATTGAATTTTTAAGAATGGATGAGACAAGATGTGCATGTATTCTTAGGCATCAGCACAGCAACCAGTAGACTGAAGATCAAAGATTAGAGAAGAGTAATTTGAGGGAAGATGTTTTGGAAAAGATGATAGTTGGAGGAATCAAGTTCATACAGATACCCTAATTCCCAGTGTCCAATAGCTTCAAGTTCACTGTCGTGACCACCGAAAGGTTTTATCTAGTCCTTTCTTTGAGATGTCGTACTAATAAGTCACTTCAGCTATGTGGGTCTCAGTTTCCTCCTCTGTAAAATGAGAGAGTTGTACGCTATGATCTTGAAATTTCCGTGATCCATAAAAAATTCATGATCCTATCAACATGTTGTCAAAGTACTAACCTCAGGGAAATTAGATTCCCCCTAATCTTTAAAACATGCTGTATTTATCACTAAAAAGAAGACAAATTCTGCAGCTAAAAACTAACCAGAGCTTATTCATGAGCTGTCAAGGCATTTTAATTGTTTTCAGAGAAAAAAAATCAAGCAAGCATGAGCTTGAATTTCTCAATCAAGCACTGATTTTCAAACCTTTCAGGGTCTTTTAATAAAACAGAAGACTGTTAGCAAAAGCTAAAGAAAGTATCCTCAAGGTCCAATACTGATGTCTCACAGGGAGGGTTTTAATTACCATTCCAAATAATAATGCCAGAGTCTCATAATCAATCCACTCCACCACTCTGACCAGGCTGGGTCTCTGAAATCAAAGAAGAAAATCACCGATGAACACTGTGTATCACCAATGTAGTCATTAGCTATGAACATATAAACATCTCTCACTTAAAGTCCCTCTCCAATGGGTTAGAACCTATTAAGCTCCTTGCCTCCAGAGAGCACTGACAGCCTACTTCTCACAAATTTAATTGCATGCATTCAACATTTTTTTTTAGAAAGACAGACCCAGGATTATTATAAACAGAAATGAAACATTCATTCCAGCACAACCATCCCACCTCTAGGCCTAAACTTATTTTCTCATAGAATCCATTCATGGAATGTGCTCAATGTAATAGCAATAATAAGAAAAATTATTGAATATAAATAATGCTATATATTTTCCAAGTATTTCTTTGTATTTATAAAATATTATTTCATATTATAATAACCCTAGGATGGACATAGGACAAAAATAATTATCTCCATTTTACACATGAGAAGATTGAGAAATAAAAAGGTAAAATGACTTCACCAAAGTCATACAAATAATTAAAGGAATATATATTAACGAAAGATTTGAATACGGATCTGGCAATTCCTAGTTTACTTCAATTTCAAATGAGAGGCAGAAGAGTATAGTGGATAGAGCAGTGGTCTCTAAAGGAACCACAGCATCCTCCCAAGAGGTATGTGGTCAACCAATTGTTGAGTGGAAAAGTGGGAAGCATCCCAACCTCCTCCACAATAATGTCATGTCTACCTCCACAATATCTCTCACATCCATCACTTTCTTTCTACTCACCTAGCTACTATCTTATTTCAAGCCCTCATCTCCTCTCAAGTGGATTATTACAAAGCCCTCCTATTTGATCTCCCTGCCTCTACTTTTCAGTTTCAATCTTCTCCTTCATATACCTGCCAAAATGATTTTCTTAAAGCACAAATCTAGCGAGACAGACAGACAGACAGACAGAGACAGAGACCGAGAGAGACAGAGACACACAGAGAGAGACAGAAACAGAGAGAGAGAAAGAGAGAGATAGGGAGAGAGAGAGAGA